GGGGGGGGGCGATAATGAAAAGAAACTCGCCGGCAGGCAGTCCACCATCTTTCTTTCCGGCCACATTTCCATCTTGGCTTGTAGGCTCATGTAGTACAGTGTAAACTAATTGATTATTAGTATTCATTATTAGTCATCAATTACAGCATACTTAACAATATTTAAAATAGCAATAATTTAATTAGTTTGTATAGCAATATTAAAAAATAGCACATGTATAAAAGTGTAATCAAAAATAAATAGCTGTTTGATAATCATAAATATAATAATAAATCACATAGAAACAAAATACTGTGAAATGAGGCAGTTTGAACATTTTTTTTTTTGACATGATTTAAAGGATGTGTTTTGTCCCTGCGAGAGAGAGACCGATGTGACTGGTTTTAACCCTGTAATCCAGGAACAAGTTTGTCTTCTTCCTCGGTGGAAGAGGATTGTATAGTTATCTGCTGAGTAATGGTAGATTTTGGCATTTGTCGCCATTGTTTTTGCACCTTCGGGTTCTTTCCATCAGGCTGTGTGACAACAAGTCGGGTCTTGTTGTTGGGTGCTGCTGGATGAGCTCAGCGGTCTAATATCCAGAATGGTCGGGCTGGTGGGAATGGAATAAGGGGTTGCTGTGAAAGACAGGCTGCATGGAGGAGACCCAGTTTACAGAATGCTGAGTAATTGTACATATAAGCGTTGGCCAGCCCGGCTTGCAGCTATCTGATAGTTTGTTTATGCGTGCTGTCATGTGCAGGGTGTTAGTGTGTGATCTGGGTCAGGTAAGGCTAGATATCGTACTGAAAGTCCTACATTAGGTCTAATCCCTGACCAGTGTATCCTTGAGTCCAAATCCAATCAGCCTATCATACTGTGATCATCCTGCTTGTACCTGGGCTCACAGTCTGACTCTCATTACCTGTATTGTCTCATTGACATTAGTGCTGCTGAATGATAAATGAACACACCTACTGAAACAGAATGAATAAGAAACATCTGAATACAGTATTTACACACCATTTGGTAATCAGATGAAGCCCCAGCTAGCTGCTAGCTAGCTCAGATTAATTGGTGAGGTTAGCTAGCATCTTGGCTGAGGAAGGACAGAAGAGCGAGGACAATGGGGCAGTTTGTTCAATTATCAATGTCATGTCTTTATTCAGTGGACACAGGCTGTTCAATGATTGGGGTCTATGTTAGCAGTGTACCTATTAAAGCAGCAAGACATAAGAACTGTATACGCACACTATTCAATTCAATTCAATTTTATTTGTATAGCACCAATTCATAACAGAAGTTATCTCAGGACCTAGACCGAACTCCTTATAACAT